GAATAGTTTCACATTTCTTTTATGGTCAGGTTTTAATTCATACAGGTGGCAAAAACAGAATCACCAGGTCTTTAATATTTTTTTAATGAACATAGCCATTGTGCCTTTCTGAATACATCAGACTTTCCATTTTCTCTACATTGACGATATCTCCGCAGTTTGTCAGCTGAACAATTTGGAAAAGTATTTTTAATATAAACTTGTCTAACCACTTGCCCACATCCTTCCCTATTATTAGACTAGTTACTTTAATTTCTTTTAATTACTTCTGGAAGAAAGTGTAGCAGGTGTTAAATGTGCACAGCACTCTTCTTTAACACCTACTAAACTCTGAAGTTACCAAAGCTCATAACCTGGGATAAGAAGGGAAAAAGTTGGAATAGAGGAGAGGGACCCGGAGGGCAGCTGCAGTGACATAACAATAAAACTTCTAAGGTACAGAACTTTGTACACACAGTGCCTGTGGCTACCTGAGGAGCATGCACAAGAACTCCACAAATGAATTTAGGATTAATAATCCCTCTGAAAAACCAGGGCTACGGCATTTATTTCACTCATTCATGCATTTATAAATCACTGAATGAATCTTTATAGAGTACCTATAAAGATGGCAGAATAAAATAACTAAGACAACAAGGTATTTTCCATGTGAATCACAGTCTAATCAGCTCTAAAATATTTTCTTTTCTGGTGGTCGTGGGGACTGAATCCAGCACCTCAGGCATGCTAGGCAAGAGATATATCATCTGATTACATTCGCCGGCTCTTCAATATATTTTAAGATTTTTGTCAATATATTGTTATATGAACACAAATAACAGTATCAAAATAAGATCGAGTTTATTTTCAGCAAATTTCATTCTGAAAAACTACAAGAATGCTGCTAAGTTTGCATTTCATACAATGGTAAGTGATGACCATCTAATATTTGAAAATAATTTTCTTGAACCTAATGAGAAATAAATATTAAGCTTTCAAGGTTTCACCTAGCAAAAGTTTTTTAATGATCTTTTACAGCAAAAACATCATTTATAGGATAAACAAACATTAAAATACATCTTTAAAAGACTCAATTAAAATTATCTTTTTATAGATATTTTAATTTCTTTTTATAGATATTGTTGTCAAGATCTTTTCTTTTAAGAAAGAAAGTAAACACACATATCATTAACTGAAGCAAATTAACAAAAGATAGGAACTTCAAACAAAGTGACAATTTCAGTTTGCAAATGGGAACTAGTATAAAATGACTTCTTTTATTTATTTATTTATTTTTTTATAAAATGACTTCTAACACTGATTTTAGAATATATCTGAGGGACTAAGCATTTCTTCAGATTCTTCTTCAAAGTTTATTATTCTCACTTTAAAAATGACTTTTGCAGAGACAAAAACAACAAATTAGAACATCTGATTTCACGGTTGAGGAGTAGATACAATATTTGGAGCACAAATCCATAGTAATGATCAGAGGGCACAAACTACAAATTAGATTCTATCTGGAGAATGCTTAGCACTAATAGCCATTTTTGTGTAAGTTATTAGAGCTACCATGTTTTAGGTTCCTCATTTAGAAAATGTGGCTAATGATAGTCTTTTAGGACCACTGGTGGGCAGCTATTGTGATGTTTGTCACTTGTTATGCCTGGTAGAGGTACTTGCTCATTATAAATTAACAACGTTTGAGTCAGAGTTGTTTTCCCCACTTCAAAGTCGAGACTTCCAAGACAGAGCAGCCTCCAGCTCGGCAACAGCCTGCAGTCAAACAAGTGCCCGAGTTGCAGACTCCCTATGTCACTTCAGAAGTGGATGCTAACATGTGTAAGTATCTCCAGAAGACTTTTATACATCCAGAAAAAGTGTGTTTGCCTTTTATCTTGCAGTAACAGCTTTTTGATGTTCATAATAATCATATTCAGCAGAAGTGGACCATAAGTAACCCTTCACATAAAAACTTAAAAATCATGATTTTTTTTTTTTTTTAAATTGACTCTTGTTATAGGGAAAAGACAGCCAGCTACCAACCGATGACAACAACAAATACATTTTTGGTACTCAGACTTAGTTAAGTCTTTGACTCTAAAATATTTAAGTTGAGGGTTTATGTACATGAACATACAAGAAGATTCATAATTAAATAGCAATAAGAATCCACTGAAAGCAATTGCTCTGAAAAATGTCACCATAATTTACTGCAGAAAAACATCCAGCTAGAACTGTTTGTGTGGAATAAGATGAATAGCCTCTATTAATGCTAATTGAAATCTTCATATTCCCAGATAGCATGCATAAAATGTACTTCTACACTTATTCTTTCCACCTCTAAACTGTAATAAGTTCATGCTAAAGTACTCGCTTTTTAATATGAGCATTCATGCATGCAAATTAATACCTTTTTTGTTGATTATATTGACAAATTTAATACAGGCAAGATCTATTTGCAAAGCATACAAGGTCTTAATTGTGATTTTTCAAAAAGTAAAAGCTGAAATTTATTTTTCATTGTTTGTTATTTCAATAACATCCTTTAAACCAATATGAACACCAATCCTTGTGGGCAAGATGGTCATAATCTAACTCCCATATACAAATAAATAAAATAAAATGAGTCATGCGATATTCTCATGTCCACAATGAACAAAGATTCCTATCTCTCTCTCTCTCTCTCTCTCTCTCTCTCTCTCTATATATATATATATATATATATATATATATATAATAAATATATACATATTTAGAGTATATACACACATATATATGAGTGTACACTTATTTATAAGTTTAGTAATGTGTGTTGCAATAGTTTTTGGGAAGTCTCTAAGCCCATGAGTTCATATTACCATCTTTTGCTTTAAGGATAGATTATAAAATCTGAGCTAAGACTTTTCTGTTACTTATTGAGCTAAAACCTCATTCAAATACAATGTAAACCTATTATCCAAATAAAAGATAATACATGATCTTTCAAACAAATAAGAATTGCAAAGTCATTATTCCTTTATTCTCTAGCTATAAAACACAATATTATCATTTCTTCTTGGGACATTAGTCATGATCTCCTGTTCCATTTGAGCCAAAAAGACTAACCACTATTCATAAGTAGGGTTATTTACCAGCAAAATATAAATTTTGGTTTAAGGATATCACCATTGTGAAATCACACTTTTCCTAGATGACTAAAAGTGATTGATGCTTGCTTATGTTCTTAAATGCAGTGCCCTGAGCTTATAAACTCTGCTGTGAACAGGGGCCCAGGTGATGCAGTTGGTTTAGGAGATTTTTCTTAGAGACTTAATAAGGTGTGGCTTTTGATGTCATTGCATATTCAGGCTTTTCTTTCCATAGAAGCCAATTCAAAACATTAATAGCTGCTGGTTGAAAGAGTTGCTGGCTCAGACTGAACACTGTAACCAGAAAAGGCTGCAGCTAAACTCCTCCCCCCCCGCCCCCTATGGACTTGATTATAACCCTATATCCCCATCCTTAAGAACCTGTGCGCCAATGAGATACCTATACATCTCTAATGGCCTTAGGGTGCTGCCCTAAGCTTAGGCTATTTAGATTCCCCCACGCCACGTGTCCGAGAGAGTTCGCCAGAGAGAGAGTTCGCCAGAGAGATATCGCCGGATTCCAGTGGCCGGCGCACCAGTCTCCTCTCCCGGTGTTAACCACAGCCCTGGGTGCAGTGGAGGCTGCGCCCAGGGCCGGCGGCGGGGGGGCCCCCTCCCCGCATTCCTGGAATAAAGTCACCGCTGCCCACTACTTTCACGGCCGTCCACTCTGCTCCATTCCTCCCACGGACTTCGACCTATAACCCTCTCTTCTCCTCTTCCCCCTTCTCTCAGACCTAACACTGGTTATTGGAAGAAAGTGGTCACTCTGGCTTTTATATGTCATAGAAAATGCCACCTAATTTGTCATTCTATCTGCAGAAGAGTAGGAAGCCATTCACTCAATCAACAAAGAACTATGAGCCTTTTTAAGTGTAAGCAATATATTACACGGGTACTGAGAAGAGACAAGTACTGGTTAGCTAAAAATATAGAACGGCAATGTCACTGGCTATGAAAAACTTAGAATCCACTTCTTTTAAAACTGTGTACATAATGGACAAAGAAAGCAGTATAGTATGCTCGTAAAAGTATGGAAAAATATAGAAAATAAGAAATATTAGCAAGTGAACTCTACTTGATAAAAATAATTTATATTTTAGAACTGTTTTACTTCTATCAAAAGTCTGACCCTGCTTTCTTAATTTTATACTATACTTTTTCGTGGACATTATTATGGCCTGTTATGATATTTAACTTTCAATGAAGATAAGCCCACTCAGTTGTGTAAATAGAAATGAAAAAAAATTAATAGCTATTTATGGCTTTCTTTAAATAAAATTAAAATCAATCTCTCCCAACAGGGAAAAGAATCAAAAAGATTATTCCAAGTATGCTCAAAACTTTTATATTATCATTTTTTACAAAAAAGGAATTTTTATATTTATTAGTTATAAATATTGTCCCGCTGTATCAGGTAGATTCGCTCAGACCTATGAACCCTCAAGCTGACAGTATCTCCCTCACTGTGTCAAATGGCACATGGCAGCATTCTGTCATGGTAACCTCTGGACACCTTCCTGGTTGGGAAGCACGTTTGAAGGCATTTCCCAGTGAATTACAAGGATGGAGCAATCTTTCAGCAAAGGTTTTGTGTTCTTCACCATGTAAAGAGCAGACTAGCTAATAATCACAAATACTCTACAAAGAAGAAAGGCTCCGTTTTGGAGTCATGTTGCACAAGTGTACACTTAACTTCTTATAATTACATTTTTAGATCTGTGAGTGATAACCATCAATCTTTCTAAAATGGCAAGACCACAAATAATCTTTTACATATACAGGCTAGAAGAAAGACCATGAAGAAAGTTTAATCAAAACCTACAATAAACTTATTAAAATCAAACTGCAAGTGTCTCCCTATAGAAAGTCGTTAAAAGTCAAACTTACCTGATCTACTATCCAGAGGTCCAAAATCCAAAGAATATTTCACGACATGATAGTTATTCCATACATAAAGCAAGTTGTCCCTGGGATTGTAATCCACAGCTGCTATGTACTGGTATGAATTGGGGAAGGGTACATCCACCAAACTATCCTTGCTTTGGTCGGTGTTGTAAATGTAGTCAATCTTATTCCCAGTGGCCTCATTGTCATCATCCTCATACACAGACTTGACCACATACAGAATCCCACAAATCATAAATGCATTGGAAGCTGACCTTTTATCATATGCAGTATCCCATGTCCCTTCAATCCGTAGGGTGTAAGGGTTCAGTTGACTAATGACAATTTTCCCGTTGTTTTGTTCGGTTGCATAGATTACCCACAGCCCATTTTCATCCACTGCCAGGTCGATGTCGGATTTGCCTCCCCACCGGTAAGGGGAAGTATCATGGTAATTGGCATTCGCTATGATTGCTTCTCCACTCTTTATCCTAGTCCTCAAATCAAATTTAACTATGTTCCTGGTGCGCTCTTTATTGAAGAACAGAGCTCCATCGTATACTACAAATCCTGTGCCGTCAACCCTATGAGGGAGCTTGTAGGTAGTTGTTGGCCTTCCGGCAATGAAGTCGTCTTTGGATGAATACTCAGTCAGGGTATCAGTTCGGTAAGGAGTCCAGGGCATATAGTAAATCTTGTCAGAGGCCTGCAGAGGATCTTTGCACCATGCCCCGGATTGGTGGTCAGACTCAAACAGATGTTCACTCTGGTACACTCCTTTCAGTAGTCCAGGACAAAGAAAAACTGGTGGGAGGGAAAGAATTAAAACAAGAAATACATTAATTTAAGAGCCTTTCATATACCCTTATTTTTCACCACACAGAAAGCAAATATAACAAGAGACACCCACCACCACTTAATTTGCTGCATGTTTTTTGAGAACACAACTTTTTTGCCCGTGTTAATTTTGGATGTTTTGCTAAATCACTTTGATTTCCTTTACAGAAAACAAGTTTAGCCTTTTTATGAGTAGCTATGCTTTCCTCTGAGTTTTTACCTTCGTAAACATTGCATTATACTATTTTTTGGATATATGTATAAAGTGTATGCATTCTATAGGCATATAACAAATATAATATTTAATATTTAAAACATAAAATTTAAATCATGATAGTTTTGTTAGTTCATTGAAAAACATACCATTTTTCAGAAATGAAACTATATCGTTTCCACTCTGACAAAATTATGTTTTTAACAGTTATCCTTAAGAAACAGACGTATTTTCTACAATATTGTTTTAAATAAAGAAAAAGAAATCTGGAATACAGACCACTGAATCTTCTAGTAAAAAAAAAAAAAAAAAAGAAAGAAAGAAAACTCTTGAAGCTGCTACAACACACACAGAGCATGCAACCCACACAATTAAAAATGAGTGATGGATGGATACTGGAAGAAAAAGAGGAAGAAAAAGAAAGGAAAGAAGGAATAGGGAGAGGAGAAAAGGTATAAGGTTACAGAAAAGAACCCAAGCGCTAGATTTTAATCAGTTAAAAATGTCCTGTTAAATACAGTAGTATTGGAACTTAAAAACATGTACCTTTTCCTGTTACATGAGAAAAGCATTAAAAAACAAGACTGCTTGCCATATTTTGCTGCTCATACTTCAGAGTGAAGGCGGGCAGGGGTCATCTGACTGGCTTGCTTTTCAGTGTGATTCAGCGGCATGTGTGAGTGGCGGTAAAGAAGCTCGGCTCATTCATCCGAAACCACGAGCTCTAAAGCAATGTTTCCCAAAGGGTGGTCCTTCAAGTGACGGTTTCAAGTTGTATGACAGGTGTTTCACAGAAAGAGGGAAAGGAAGCTACAGCCACATCGGTGAAGAACTATTGCATTAAATATAATTGTGGCAGAGATTGCAGTAGCTCAGGTACTGTAGTGAATCTCCGAGGCAGATTTGGGAGGGGGAGCAAACCTCCCAAGTGCATTTGATTTTGGAATCTTTTCTAAGGAATTTCTTTGGATTGCGGTTCTCTGTTGAACCTGCTGTGGGAAACACTGCTCTAATAGATTTGTAAAGCAGACACGCTCATCATGCAGGCTTCTGGTATGTTTGAAACGATTAGAAGTGCTAGATAGAGGAGCTGGGGAATCACCCACCAGTCTTTTGGGCAAAGACCCATTTTGTAATGATTGAAAGATTATTCATTCAGCATTAGTAATTAGCTTTTTAATAGCAATGAGCACAGATCCAATGGAAAGCAGTGTAAAATGGAACAGTTAAGTTTTGGAGATTATAGAAAAAGCATATACAATACTAACATTCCCAAAGTTTCATTTTTTAGGAAATAAACAGAGCAAGGGAAAGCTGGCTATGAAACTATTCCTTAGAAAATATAGAGGACTACTGCCAATTTACAGTTAATAAAAATCAATAAAATTATTCACGATTGTAAGAATGTATCAGGATGTTTTCATGATCACTTTATTGAAAAGAACATTTGTTGTAAAAATTTTATATAATTTTCTTTTATAGATAATAATCAGCCATTGGTTATTAAAGTAATTTAGCATATTAAAAAATTATCTCCTCCTAGTAGTTAAAATTAATATATACCAGAGCTATGCCAAATTATCCAGTAAAAAAAAAATAGAAACAAATGTAGGCCAATAACTATTTATCACATTTACTGGATTTTTAACTACTTATGTAAAGATAAAGGGAATAAAATACAGTGTTGAAAATTTTACAATATTGAACTGTGTTTGGATAAGAAAATAAAAACCAGCACTGGTCAGTAAAACAGATTAAAGTGAAGTTGAGCAGCAGAAGTAGTAAATAAATTCTCATAAAATAGATAAGAATTAATAACAAAATTATTTTAACTAAATGTTAAACTGTTAAATAACTTAGCCTATAAATAGTATATAATTTAGGAAAGGTATTTAATTACCTTTTTGTTCCACTTCTATTGGAGAGAGAGAAGTAAAGAGAGAAAGGAGAAAAGAGAATAGATTAATGGTACGGTATTGGCCAAGCACTTATTATTCACGTCTTCCAAACTGAAAGTACATAATTTACTTCACTCATACCTGCTTCATTGAACATTATGCTTTTTTAAAGCCCATTTCTCTAATACAATTATTGCTTTAAAATAATCATATAAGCTTTAAAATTCACTATAAACACACTGAAAATTAATCCAGTTAAGAGTATAAACACACCATTCTATAGACATAGGAAATACAGTATTAGAACATCAATATTACTATTTGAAAGAGCATGTCAGCAATTACCCACAAGCTTTCAAATAGTTTGGTTCATTTCATTTATAAATATTATGGTTCTATACCACCATTTAACATAATAGTCTTGGTTTTTATGGTGCTCAAAGAATTGATCTCTTCAGAAGCAAGACCTCTGTAATTCATTCCTAGTGTCTAACAGTTTCCGTAGCAGCTTGAAAGTTCACAAGGTACACAGCACCAGACAAGGTTCTTCCTTGAGCAGATGGACTTAAGATCCTTATTAAATACACTGTGCGGCTCACCAGTACTTGATATTACTGTGGAAACATATTGTCTCTCTGAGAAGCTATTATCAGAGGGGTGATCTAAATAATGAGCCACAGATTCTGGCCTTTTCTGAAATTTTAAACTTAAAATATTTTTTTTAACTTGCAAAAATAACTCGAGGTGCTCGGAGACTGAGTAAAAGTACAAAGACTCAAAAACTGAGCATATTCATGACCCTCATCAGCTAGCACTTTCTTTATCTTATGGACAACTGTCTCATTAGTCACAGTTTACTCATATCTTAAGGAGAAAAAAGAAGCCTACAAGCAAAAGCAAATATGTCAGGAAGTATGGTTTCATAATAAAAACTAAAAATCACTGCTAATGTAATGCAAAGGCAAAATGAATGGAAGGTATGAGCTAATATATTATGCTTAGTAAATAAAATGAAAGCCCGAAAAGTGAAAAACAAGAAAGTAATACTATTCTCAATAATTATATTTGGATGTGATTTTTGAGCTTTGAACTAAATTATTTAGTCATTGAAACCAAAATTTTTCCTATCCACTGACTTTTCTTTGAAACTTCAGTCTCTCATGTTAGAAGAAGAATTGATATATTATATATTTTTGCTGCAAAAACTGTATTTCAGTCATTATAAATCCTATTTTTAGCAATCTTTCTAAAAGAACTTTTAAAAAATGTATTATTTTGTCACAATTTGTCAACAGTCCCAATTACTCCTCATTGAGTGATTAAATGACGCGTTGAAATGACTCAACACAAGCTTTATTCTAAGAGATGTACTTCATTCATCCACTAAAATACTACCCTGTATTCAGATGGACAACTAGAAGAGCTAGCATCTTACACAATGATTTATAAACCCATTATAATGAAAGTTAGAGATGGATGAGAAATCATACTAAATTGTCATTTTTCCAGTACTGGTCTACAAAGGATTTTCAGCTACAGTATTTCAGGTCTTGTTTTAGCTTCAAATGCATATTCTAGTGATAATTAACTTAGGAACTCTATATTGTGATACCCTCACAAGGTTAGAACTATTTTGCCTAAACTTTGTAGGCATGCATGAAACAAAAATCTACTTTGAGAGTGAAATTTCCCTCTTTAACGACTTCTTAATGCAAAAGACAAGATATATACCAAAAAAGTATGATCATGTATCTGTTTTATTATGTAAATTCTGTCTTATCATTTTATGGGCATTTTTATCAGAGAATTTTCATATGTATTATTTCCACTGTTATTTGGTAAATTTTGCTTTTAATTCTTTGGTCTTGATCTACTTTCTAAGACATTCGCATAAAATGCAGCATAAGTAAAGCTTGCGTTTTAGTTGGTGCTTACTCAAAATTAAGATTTATTAGGCAGTTCTGCTCTGAAGAAAATTATTATGGCCTTGCCCATGTCATGACTGCCTGAAACTCATTTATCATTTATTTGCTGTTTTCAAGACTGAAATAAAACAGTCCTATAATTTAAACTGAAACATGCACACACAAATCATATTTCTGTAACAAAAACTGGCAAGGAAACATCATTTGTTGTTGAAAAGCTTAGTAACATTTAGAATTAGCCAGTCATTGCCTATGGTCTAATTCTGATTCTAAAAGTTTCTCTTTCCTGAAACAACAAACGAATCAGTTACAAAACACATGAATGCGATCATTTCCTTCATAACCACACAGTGCCTGGCACCTCATAGATATAGAATGAATAATTATTGAATTAAATGCATAATTGAAATGATAGTGAATAGCTTAGCTTCTTGATATTGTAGGCATGTCACGCAAAGAAAAAAAATGGTGAAACAGACCTTGGATATGCCAGGTAAAATTATATATGCAATGCATTGTCTACTTAGTATCTTTACTTCAATGAATGGAGCGGAAAGTAAAATTCATGGGCATTCGTGTGTCCAAATTAATAAAGTAGAACTGGAAGGAAACAGGAAAAAAGTAAATTGGCTGCTCTTGTCAAGAACCTGGTGCTATACAACAGCTTGGAAAGACTTAAAAACATGCTTAGAAAGCGCCTGTCTGTCTTCTCTGTAATGAGAAAGTAAATAAATGAATTCTACAAAGACAGCTGTGCTAGGGTCTTCTTCAGGATCTCGTGCTGTTAACTGGTCCAAATTTTTGAATTCTAACAATATAACTGTCATTGTTTATTTCCAAGTCTCTTTGGAACTATTTTTTATTCTTTTCTCTCTCTCTGTCTTTTTTTTCTTTGGTATTGGGATCGAACTCACAACCGTGTGCTTGCATGGCAGGCGCTGATGCCGCTGAACTAAATCCTGAGCACTTTTGTCCATTTTTAATCTTCAAACTAGTTTTATTATCCATTCAGTGTATATAAATATTTTATATATTTCCTTAAATTGATTTCATTGTTGTGCTTTGCCAAACTTAGTCTCATGAGCTCTATCCTGTGGATACAGAAAATGACAAATTTGAACTCACGGTTATTTCTTATTTTCTGTATAATAGGAGGAAACTGTAAAAAAAGACTAGCAAATTTTCCCTTCAGCTTTCAACACTCATAAAGTAGATATAGTACACATTCATACTATCATGTAGAAAACTGAGACATTATCAGTTCTAACCACATTTGGCACAATATTCAATACTTTTGAATTGTATTCTTTAATTAGAAAGGTGTGGATCAGACAGCAGATGCATACATTGCTAACTTTTTACAAACTGCATTGCAAATTGCAGAGAATTAAATTTGTTGCATACCAAAAACTATTACTGCCGTAACTAAGAACTGTGAAACGGCACCTAATATCTTTTAAATTCTTTTGCTTTAAACTGTCAAAAATCACATTTTCTATCCAGAGTGCAAACATCTCATATAAGTAGAATATTATAATTCAATAATATTTCCAAATTTCATCGTATCTAAATTAAAAGATACTTATAAGGGAATTAAGATGTTTATAAAAGAATATATAAGCAAATAGTTTTTCATGGAAATGTCATGGTATTTAAAGAATTAAGCTCTTAGTAAAATTCAGCTTAGATTATTTGAGTAAACTTGCCCTGTGTTAACTGAGCAGTGTCGGCATGAGGAGAAAAGGAAACCAAGTAGGTAATAAAAAATCAGTCTTGTAGAAAATCCACAAAGTCACCAACAAGTAAATAATCAATGTTCATCAAAATACTTTGCATTTTTGAACATCCACATTATATTTTTAAAAAACCTTTTATATGAATCAGCTGATTTATTTCTTTAAACAGTGTTGTCAGATGGCATTTATTATTTCTGTCAAAGATGATGTATTAAAACTCAAAAGATCGAAAGATCTGACCAAGGCCCACACTAGTAGGAAGTACAGGTCTTTGTCTAGTAGGACACGCCCGCTCTACCAACAAGTAAATTCAGCACAACGTGTTTTTATTGTTGTGGTTTGCTCTCCATTTCCTCCCTGTCAATCCACGAGGAAGCATACTAAAGAGGTGATACATAAAATACATGGACTCGCCTTGGGATTGGGCCTTGAAGCTGTTATAATATTCATTCCTTAAACACTGTAGTTTTGTATATAATATTAGTGATTTTAAACATCACTGGACTCTTACAATGAAGATTTTCTCATTCGTTCAGAAGTTTAAATGAGAAAACAGAGACACAAAGAGGATGCTGTGTGGTTAATAAGTGGTAGAGTTGGGATTCAAATCCTTCTTTTTGATTTTACTTATGGACCATCAATAAGATACATTATTATTTTATTTGTCTCTAGTGACCAACATTATAGAAAGAACCAGACCAATATTTGTTACGCTTCTGGATAATGAACACGTAGAACTATGGTATTTTCAAAGAAAGACTCTGGATGCCACACTGCTCTGTGCTATCATCCCTTGACAATGGAGACGAAAAACAGCACTCAAGAGATGATTAAAATAAAATCAGAGAAAAATGGGTACTACTTTAGTTGGCTAAGGAAAATAACATTTCTCTTAACACTGGAAACAGATTTTGCTCAACACCGCATGTTTTACCGATTCATATTGTTATGAAATGATAATACTCTTTCTTCTTCCATTTCACATTTATCAAGAAAATATAGAAGCTCTTCAGTAAACAGAAACAAAATCCGCGATGTTCATTAAATTTTTTGGTATATTGCATATCAAAAATTCTGACAGATATCTGTCTCTTTCAGTAAATAAATTGCTAATTCTTTATTTAGTGACAGACAGAAGTAATCTTTGCAGCTCTGCTTCTAAATTATGCTTTTCAAATAATGCCTATGCATCAGTGAATAAAAGTGCCACTCAAAGCACCTTGTATTACAATGCCTTTATATAATGTGTCTTCAAAGCGAACACCTCCCTAATGAATTTCATCCTGGAGTGAGTAGATTGAAAATGTCAATAATTCATAAAATGCCTTGAGTAGCCACATTCTAATTTAAACACTT